GTGTGGGTGGTGGGGATGGTGTTGATGGTGGAGGCGGGGAAATGATGAGGATGGAGGGGATGGGGATGGTGAAGATGTGAATGGTGTGGATGGTGAGGATGGTGTGGATGGTGGGGAGGTGAGGATGGTGGACAGAGTGGGGAGTGGATGGAAGGGATGGTGGGGATGGTGTGGATCTGGGGATAGTGTGGATGGTGGGGATGGTGGGATGGTGTGGAAGGGGACGGTAAGACAGGTGTGGGTGGTGGAGATGGTGTTGATGGTGCGGTTGGGATGGTGTAGATGGTGTGATGGTTGGATGGTGGGGATAGTAGGGATGGTAGGAATGTTGGGACGGTATGGATGGTGGGGATGGTGGAGGTGGAGAAGAATGATGAGGATGGAGTGTATGGTGAGGATGGTGAGGATGGTGTGGATGGTGAAGATGGTGGGGATGGTGGGATGGTGTGGAAGGGGATAGTGGGAGAGGTGCAAACGATTGGTGTAAGTGATTATGGTAGAGGTTGTGGCGCTGTTGTTAGTGACGGGTATGGTGGTAATGGTGCTCCTAGGTAAGGAAAGCCATGGTTATAGGAATGATCAGCATGTGAAATGGAAGGGCGTAGAAAACGTCTGCTTGTCGACGTCTTCTTTACCATCAACATCGTCGTCTCCATCGTCGTCGTCGTCGCATCGAACTTTTATTATGAACAGGTTTCCGTCAATCGCTATCGGACGTGGTCGCTCCTCGGTGTTGATGTCAACGCCACGCATGCACACAGAACGAGACAATGTACCAGAGAGGTGAGAAAGAATCAATTAAGTGCCGAAGAAAATTCCTCGAAAGAAACGGAAATGATGTGCCATGCAACCACCTAATGATGACTAGTGATCCAGTTTGAACAATGAGGAGAAATTTCTAGGAGAAACACCGCCCGACGCCCCATCGTTGATGCTCTGGGAGAAATCTATTGAGTGAATCTGAGATTGTCAGAGATTTCCCAAACCAGCGCCGCAACTTCTTTTCCACCCCTTCTCCTATGTGGCTAAGCAACGTAACGTGCTGCTAATGACGATCACGTTTATCTAGCACAGCAAGCGTTACGCCCTGTACACGCTTCAATGAGTGTGACAATCGTTTGCGCGTTCGCCCCACCTATAATCCCTGCTGCTGAAACCGCTGGTTTCGTTTCGTTTCGACGCAGTGAGAACGGTTGTGAAAACATTTGAAACTACCGTAACCGAAAAAGTCAGATCTTTGATGTAATTGGCTGAAAGAAGTAGACTGATCAGAGGAGTATCGAATTCCGTATTCATTATTGATAGCTCAAAAATTTGCTTGTACTGCAAATTCTCACCACAAAATGTCTAATGGACCCGATAGGAAATTTATATAAGTATGAAAACCACCAGAGCTGTTCACAAAAAAAACTCTCTAGTTCCACCTCCATTAT